ATGTGTTTGTCGCGCTCCTTATCAAGCATCCAATGCGGCACGTTTCTCAAACAAACGCTTATGGCTGCTGATTTCTGGAAACTGCGCAAACTTGACAAGCAGCAGATTTGAATTTATATTGTTTTAATTTTTTGCTATTATTGTTTTGATTACATATTGTATATATTTGCCTAAGTTGAATACAGTGGCTGCGCATACATTTCAGAGATATGACGTGTAATGCGGCAGCGTTTATGAAATTTTAATGCGTACTAGTTGTTTTGATATCGCCGCAAACATACACACGAGCTTGTATGCACAAACAAAATTCATACTGGCGAAAAACGGCAAAATAACTACTCAACAATATGACTTTTTTGACGCTAAAATATTTGCAAGTCCATCTATACATACATACATATAAGTACATTTAGTTACTTTTGCCGTTTGCTTTATAATTGTTATATAAGATATACATATGTATGTATGTACATATGTTCAAAAATACATTCCTGCATTTGCTTATTAAACTTTTCACAGCATTTTTCAACTCAGCTGAGCGTATTTTAACTGATCAATCATATGTACATATGTCACTTAGTGCTGATTGCAAATTTTTAGCCACATCTATAATCACTTAGTAAAACAAGAAGAACCGTTAATTTCAGTAGCAGCTAAGCTATAATACACTTCACACATGAAAAAGATTCCATACTAAAACCTCACTTTGATCGGTCAGTTTGTATGACAGCTTTACGTTACAGTGGTGCGATCGGAACAATTTATTCGGAGATGGTACCGTTGCTTAGGACAATAATCCATGGCAAGCTTGGCAAAAATATCTCGAGTAATAAAAAAGTTTTTCATACAAGGAATCAAGTCCTTGAGACTTCAATTTGTATGACAGCTATACGCTATAGTGGTCCGATCTAAACAATTTCCTGAGAGATTATAATGTTGCTTTTAACAATCACCTCTGCTAAATTTCGTGAAGATATAACCTCCAATAAAAAAGCTTTCCATACAAGCACTTAATTCGGATTGTTCAGATTGTATGGCAACTACATATATGCTAATATGGTCCGATATCGAAGATTATGTTTATCGTGCAGCTTCTTGCGCAGAAATATGTAGACGTATGCAAAATTTTAGAACGAAATCTTAAAAGCTAAGAGACTTGTATGCGTATATAGGGATTATCAGATGAACGAACATGGCTAAATCGGCTCAGCTCATCACTCCGATCATTTATATATGTATGTATGTATACTTACTTACATATGTAACTGTATATAACATTTATGTACAATTTAGATCTCAAATGTTCACTACTGTGACAAACTTAGTATACCCTATTCAGGTTATAAAAACGTTAAATAATCGTTTCAGATGTCGTAAGTGTCTCAGTTGGCTCTTGCAATACAAATTGTCAGATATTTTAGGAATGATGAATATGAGGTCAGCGAAATTTGTTTCCAAATAAGTTACTCTCTATTATAGAAATCATTACACGACAATTATTCGAAAGCTATTGATTAACTTTAACGATGATTCGAGCATATGGTTCTGAGCTCAAAGATCAATTGCTCCAATAGAAAAACTCAGAAGATTTATTAACAAAAAGTGTTATCAGAAATGTCACAGTAGTATGTACACTATTCTCTTTGACTAATGTGATGGACAGTTCATTTAGCATTTTTATAAACAGATCATAAGATATAGTATGAAACGTAACTTTGAAGTTTTGAAGCATTATTTTAGGAAATATGAAAAAAATTCAAAATTCTCGAAAAGTAAGTTCGTTGATTTTGCTTTTCTGGAAGATTTCATCAAAAACCAATATGCCTTAATCGCCATAGAACCCACCTTTAGTTCCTTCAGCTTTGTTTCTAACATTCAAAAACGCTTAAAATATTAGCTATAAAGGTCTTCTTCTTCTTTGTAGACGTAGACATCACATATGTACTTCAGATTTTGCTTTGTTTCTAACATTGAAAAAGCCAGGAAAAAGTAGTCATTTGCTGTCATAGAGGATGTAAGGGTCTTCTTCTTCTTTAACCACTTATAGCTAAGTTTAGATTGGAGATTCTTTCCAAAGGAGTGGAAGTCTTCCTCTGTTTACCCCGGCAGGTACAGCTTCGAATACTCTCAGAGCTGGATTGTTTTCATCCTTTCGGACCACAAAACCTGTCCCTCGAAAACTCGTAACGTCGACGATAATGATGAGTGACTTGTAGGGTTTGTCCTTTGTACGTCGAGGGAGGACTTTACTTCTCAATTGCCTACTCAGTCCGAAGTAGCACCTGTTGGCTAAAGCTATTCTGCTTAGGATTTCCAGACTAACATTGTTTTTGGTGTTAATGCTGGTTCCAAGATAGTCGAAATTGTTAACGACTTCGAAGTGTATTACTATCAACACTGACGTGGTAACCCAGTTCCGAGTGCGACGACTATTTGTTTGCTGCCAGGTGATTTCGTCTTCTCCTCGTTCACTAGCAGACCCATTTGCTCGCTTTCTTATCCAGTCGGGAGAAAGCTGAATTAAAAGGCACGGTTATTGAAGCCAATGACATCAATATCATCGGCATACGGCAGCATCTGTACACTGTTATAGAAGATTGTAGATTCTCCATATAGCTCTGCAGTTGATATTATTTTCTCCAGCATTAGAATGAAGAAAGAAGTCGACTTATCTGAAACCTCTTTTGGTATCGAACGCTTTGAAGAGACTTTTCCTGATCTTCACGAAGCTTTTGGAATTGCTGAACATCACCTATTTTGTTGCTATTCAAAACCGACGTTTTGGTTATGATTTATGCCAAAAGTCTTACTTTCTGATAAAAATGAGTAAGCATATACAAACATACGTTTATAGGTTTCCATTATTATTTATTATCCATCACAATTTATCGCATGATTCTGCCAAATTTTTATTGCTGAAAGTTTGTCTTCCATTTTCAATACAATTTGCAACAATAAATAACTAAATGATTGCTATGTTAATGTAAATAGGTGATTAACGATTGATCTACTGACATAGAAGTATGCAATAGAACTATAAGTATGTACATGTACGTATATATGTGAAAAATAAGACCTGTCGTTCACAATATTCGTCATTTCAATTTTTCGCTGTGCTAATAAATATTCTAAGTGGGTATTAGGATGAGTAAAAACAAAAACAAATATTTTTCCCTTGGTGCTTTGAAATATATGTAGGTTCTTAGATATCTTTGTAAATATGAGCTCTTAGCTCTGACGGAAAGATCCGCCTTACAGTTTTCTATTTTGTTCAATTAGAAAAATTTAGATCTCACTTCTAACTACGAGCAAAAATAGCTCGCTTCGTAGATTTTGTAGGAAATTGAATGTCTCTTACGATTCACACAACGAAAATGTTGAAGTTGACGAACCCATACTATTTATAGTCCAAGGAAATCTTGAAAAAATAAATATAAAAAATAAAACTAACCTTTATATAGATATTAGCGGCTAAAAATTTGTTATTTAAGGACAAAGATATTTTTTCAATGTACATTAAAGTCAATAAAAAAATCGTTAAAAATCGACAAACATGTAGAGACCTTCTGAGAGATGTATTAAAACCTACGTTTCAGTGTACGAAGCGAAAAAATATTCGCATTTTTGACTCACCCTAGTATGTATGTATGCATGCAGGAAAAATTACTTTATATTCTTTTGTTTGTATTACTTGCCACATTTATTCTAATTACTTCCTAATTTGATTAGTATCAACTTTTCAACAGCTGTAATGCACAGCTTTTAAGTACACACATACACACCAACATTTTTCTAACACTTTCCGAAGTTGGCAAAAAGCACTCTACTGTTAGGCTAATACCATTGTACCATGTTGATATATACATACATACATATGTATATATTTAATATGTATTATTCGCAAAAGTCTACTTTTCCGTTGTTTACAAACCAGTTGGAAATACACTAACTTTTGGTAGAATAATATTTACATAATTACATACATATGTATGTATATATTTGCCAGCTTTTTATTATTTATAATGGCATATATGTATTTACAAATGTCATGAATATTACATGTAAATATTGTTTTATATAAATTCCAGTGTATACATACATACATATACTATACATCCCATATTTACAAATGTGAAATAACGTTTACATTACGCTACATTATTTTTGTAAAAGTGACGAGTATACGCAGTAAACAGCGAAAATTCACATTAATTAAGACTTGAAAATTATTTAAGGTCAATACTGTACCTTACTTTGTTGATTAACAGGGCTTTTGAGCTTAATTTCTTAGAGTGGTTATGAAGATTTCAAATTGAATAAACATCGTTCTTTGATTCGTCAAGTGTTAGAGAGTGGCGAATCGAAAGAGACAACGTTTACGTAGTTTACAACAGCGCGCCAAACGTTCTTCCTCTGCGCTCATTGACGCCAATTGGAGATTCCAAATGTAGGTAGGTCCTTCTCCATCTGCTCTTTCCAACGGAGTGGAGGTCTTCCTCTTCCTCTGCTTCCCCGGCAGATACTGAACTATGTCAATGCCGTCGTATATCGTCCATTGCGGTATTCGTCATAATCATAAATCTTCCACAGAACCTTTCTCTCGAAAACGCGTAACGTCAACTCATCAGATGTTATCATCGTTCATGCCTAGCAGGCTGGGTTGACGGGTGACTTGTAGGGTTTGGTCTTTGTTCGTCGACTTTACGACGACTTTAGTTCTCAATTGCTTACTCAGTCCAAAGTAGCATCAGTTGACAAGAGTTACTCTGCGTTGAAGTTTCTTACTGCTTTTAATTCACAAAATGTTTCACCTCAAAGAGAGAGCGGTTGTAGAAGTTGCTTTTTAGAAGCTTATCTCTCTCGAACACTAGTAATAGCTGTATAATGAATAATTTAGTTATTGTTATATCTGAAAATTGTAATGGTCAAAGAAAAATATATCTTGAGTTTTATATACAATCATGCCTAATGTCTCCTTTTCTCTCTCTCCCTCTTTACAGATATGAAAGGCTCTTACATCGCGCTCAAATTGAAGACCTTACAGAAGTCTCCGGCATTGGTTGCCTGTATCAGAGTGGCGTCGATCGTTTGGGTCGACCAGTTGTTGTGTTTTGCGGCAAATGGTTCCCAGCACACAACATCGATTTGGAGAAGGTAAGATCATTCAATCAACGACTTTCTGCATTCATTCATTATAACCTTTTTCCGGTAGGCACTTTTGTATTTGATAAAACTTTTGGATCCCATCGTTAAGGGCGATTATGTAATTGCGTACTTCCATACTTTGACTTCAACAAATAACTATCCATCACTTCACTGGTTGCGTGAAGTATACAGTATATTACCATACAAGTGAGTACGAGAGAGAAAATCTTAAAATGTATATATTTAATTGAAATAATTATTTACAAATATTTTTTTAAAAGAAAAAAAACATAAATAGAAACACATAAAATATATATTTTTTTAATTTTAATAATTTTTTAATAATTTCTTTAACACTTTTTAAGGTACAAGAAAAACCTGAAGGCCTTCTATATTGTGCACCCAACATTTTGGACTAAGGTGAGTCATTTTAATACTTAAAACTATTGCGTATGGGGTATATATTCACTGAATTTTTACTTTCAATGCCTAGATGATGACTTGGTGGTTCACAACATTCATGGCGCCCGCCATCAAAGCCAAGGTACACTCACTTCCCGGTGTCGAGCACTTATACTCCGCCATTTCCAAGGATCAATTAGAGATACCCGCATACATCACCGAATACGATATGACGGTAAGTGTAGAAAACTCACCAAATATGCTGAATCATAGAAAGCATCTAAGTCCTGTAGAGTTAGTTGTTTTTTGGGTTTTAGAGGGTTCAACGGTTATCCATCGGCGGCTTGCGTTCTACCGCTAGACCAAGTGACTTCGCAAGCGCTTTGCAGGCACTGGTGAACGGCCGTGCTACTGTTTAGCCTTAGATTTGAACACAAGAGATCTACCGAACTACTTTCCCTTCATCTTGCTACAATCGTAATAGCTCTTACTGGACACTCTCCAGCAGACATTCATGCGGTCAAACTAACAGTCTCTTTAACGCAAAGTCTAAAAATTTTAGGGAGAAGAGTGAGATGGAAACACTTAGACAATTTCTGCTCTATTTTCCAGCCAAAACTGACAATCAATAATTTTCTGAAAGGCTCAAAGCGCTACCAAAACAACGTCTAAACTGTTCAAGTAAGATCCCTGACAGGATCTACCTCTTAACCTCACCTAACTTATAATATGCTTAAATTATGACTGTCGAAAATATGGAAAGTTACTTAAGTATCTTGAGAATTGTAAAGCAAATAGTAGCCCACTACCAACCTTTCTTAAAGCAAATTTTGTACTCAGTTCGGAAGGAAACCAATTAAACTAATTTGAGTGGGAAACATATAGTTATTGAAGCATTTAGGGTATGAGACACTGGAAGATGCCTCGAAGCCACAAAGTATATTTTAAAATTCGTGCCAAGCGGAAGCATCCTAAAGAATAACTACTCTTCATGGACTTCGAAACTGAACTTCATCTGATACCGCAAAGCACCAAAACTGGCTCAGTAGTGGCTCAGTAACCTGTCAAACTAAACTAACCTAAGAGAATAATATGCTTTTGTGTTTAAATGCAGTTAAAATTAGTTGTTAAGCTCAATTTTTGATTTCTTTTTTACTTTCCCGTTATTTATCACAAATTTTCATGTTTTTTCTAGATTAACGGTCTGCATTACTTTACGCCGATGCCGACACCATCATAGATAACAATCGTGACCATCTAGTCGTCGACTGGTTACAGTCTAAACACATAACAAAAACAACAATAACAATATGAAGAGCAACAACAACAAGCGCCTAGTGACGCTTAAAATCATAAGCGTACACACACATGCACATGCGCATGCATACAAACAACACATATATACAAATTTACGAAAGCAAAAGAAAAATGCTAAAATTGTTAAAGAAAAACTAAAAAACTGTGACTAACAATCCCTTAAAACACTAAATGTTGTACCTATTGACACACACACATACAAACAAACATGTTCATAGACATTTTTTTCTTTCTCATAAACAGTACAGACTAAAATTATGCTGCATATAAATATAAAATAGACTAATGCTGATATATACAATTATACATACACACACATACTTGCTTACTTACATACTTATATAGTGTATATAGTGAGCGTATTGATTTATAAATATGAAAACGAGTAATATTGTAAAGTTATGGCAATTATGAAACGAGAGTATTGTTAATAAAAGCTAAAAATATTGTTATTCTGTGCGAAAAAATGTTTAACTAACTAGATTTTCAAAAAAAAAATTATATATATATATACATAA